TCTCCTCTCCTCTCCTCTCCTCTCCTCTCCTCTCCTCTTTCTTCTGTACATGCCTCAAGATTTCAGAAAACAGCCAAAAACCTGCCGAATATGGGGACTGCTACAGTGCAGACATCCACTTTGTGAAAAAGCTCACACCTTTCTGAAACAGAAAGCTACGTTTCTAGCCCTTATGGCTTGCGAATATTTTTGTAATCTCAAAAGCCCATTAAAGTGGCCAAAGGAGATCTCCAGAACTTCAGTATCCATGTGGCTCTTTCATCTTCTCTGCTACTAAAAGAAAAATTGTTTCAGTCTAGTAAGGGAAAAGTCACAAACATGTAAGAGGATCTGATGGTCTAGATCAGTTTATTCCAACCTGGGCAACTTTAAGATGTGTGGACTTCAACTCCCAGAATTCCCCATCTTAAAGTTGCCCAGGTTGGGAAACCCCATTCTAGAAATTCATTATTGTTGGGACAGAACTTGGATTGCCTTGGGAATAGTTTTTGGGATTGTACATTCACGTGCTGCAGTACAAGATACAGAGGAGAGGTGAGAAAGATAATCCTTCTTTTAAAAAATTCCAGGTGAAGCAGGTGGAATCCGGCACCATTGCATTTCACTTCTCCACCAGCTCTGACGAGCGACCCAGAACCGCTGCAAAAGCCCCAAGCATTAAGAGAGAAGAGCTGCTCTCCCCCAAGGCCAAGAGTCCACCTGTCACATCCCCCGGTGAGTGGTTTTCCTAGACTGCTTCTCTGGAAACATGCAGGGGGCCATTGGTCCCCCTCCAAAGTTGAGGGGGCACTTAGGACAATGATGGGGTCAGGGAATTGGAAAGGGGGGCTCAGGAACGGGAGCTGAACCAGCTTGGAAGGACTTCTTAGTTTGCAGCGGGGGAATAAAGACTGTTCCTGTTTTTTAATCTTTGGCATTTTTCTGTCCTGCCTGTGAAAACGTTTTGGAGTTTTTTGCTGGTGTTTATTTGAAGCAGCAGAGCGAGTGAAATGCTTTCCCATCTTCACCAGCACAGCAAACCGTGTTAGTGTAAACAAGACTCAGATACGTTTCTTCTCCTTTCCTCCTATCCCCCGCCTTTAATTGGCAGGGGCTTAGCATGCCTCCCTGCTTTTCTGCACTTCGCATAACGCGGCTTACCTACCCCAAAAGGAAATGGTGTGATGGGTACACAGGTATGTAAGTGTCCTTGTGCATCCCCAGGACATGCAAATCCTTGAAGCCCTGTTGTGCATGTCCATGCGTGTGCACCCCCTCCAGATAAATACGCAGCTTTTAAAAGCTGCGATGCGCTCCAGCAAATGCTGCCTGATATATCTCTGCTGACTTCGTAGCCTAGACCCTGGACTTTATCATTTTGTCAGTAAACAGGAAAGTATGAAATTGCCCTGAACTCTCAACCCTTTTAGATTGCCTTCATCTCAAGAGCCAGCAACAGGAATTAATGCCGTTATAGTTTCTGATATATGGAGTGGGTAACATATAATTTTACATTAAAAGGTGAAGCAGGGTCTCCCCTCATTCTTAAACATCCTCTTCATTCTGCTGGTTTGTCATCTTTCCCCTGTTTCTTTGAACCAGCTTGCTTTTGGCTTCATCGCCTGCACACAAGCTTATAACCTTATCAACGTGACACAATTACAGAAACTTCTTGCCGGGTGCACGTTTGAGGGTGAGCCAGTTAGCAGAAGACAAAATAGGACCGAGACGCTGCAGGGGGTTTGAAGACTGGATTAAAGCAATGTTTTATAGAGGGCCCTGGGCCGCCTTTTGGGGGGAGCAGGACATCTTTAGGAGGTTCTGTGATCTAGTAAGGTGATCCAGCCTGAAAGCTTTGGGCTCTTGGCAAGATTTCCCTACTTTGGTAGGCTCCAAAAAATCAGAGACAGAAAAAAAAATCAGGAGGAAGGTGGAGGAGGAACCCCAAAACGGCCCAGTAAAGCTGGAGTATGCTTGATGATTGTCGAGCGTTCTGGAACAGTCCCTCCTAAAGAAGGGCATCATTGGTGGCCTTGCTGAGAATTGGATGAGAAACAGGCCTCCTTGCCAGGAGTTAAAAAACAAAACGGGGAGATCTCAAGTAGCTGAGCTGGAAAGAGACTCTGCATAATCCTTTGCAGTCTTCAGCATCTCAGAGAGGAGAAAGGCTTGGCTCGAAGAACCAGAAACCCGAGCCGTAAATAGCTCCTGTGCAGGTTTGGAGGCATATCCCGCCTTCCACGCCCATCACTGTCCTTCCCCCAGGTGAAGTTGTGGAAGCAACATCAACTCCTCGGGAGGCGTCTATTTTGCTGGTGGAGTTCTTGCTGAAATGTGTGAACCAGACAAAGTTCACCTTCTGCTTTTCCAGGGCAGGTCTTTGATATTCTGGCTGAGATCTTCTCCTGTAAGGTTGGCATGTCCTGCCTGAGCCCTGCGCAAAGGCTGATCCTTGTTTTGGTGATCCTAGCAGAACTGGAGCTGTCAGCTTCAGGGAAGAGTCGGAGCTTAGATTGAATGACTTCCTATTGTCTTTTTACTTCTTGGAGTGATAGCCATGCCTCTACA